AACTAATTGACAAATCTGAAATGATTCATCAAGTTTTGGTTAAGTTCTATAATAATTCGTTCACAGTTAATATTTTAAGAAACTTTAAATTTTGTGGTTTGCAAATTTTTTTTAATTATGTGTGAAGTGTTTTTCGTTTGTGAGTAAATCGTATCTGTTAAGAATTTTACTAAGAAATGTGTAATCTATATTTGACCTTAACCCAAAATTCGTTAATAAATATGAAAATGTGAATAAATAATATTTTAACGTTTTTTATGATGAAACAGTCGATTGAAGGGAAATTTAAAATGAATTATTTCGAAAAATAATTTAAATTTAAATTTAAAAATGTGAATAATTTTTTTTTGGAATATTTGCAAGGTTCATGGTTTTAATTTTATTTAATTTATTGTAAGACAATAATCAAAATAATATTAAAAATTATAAATAAAAATTAAACAAGTTCTCAATAATTATAAATTAATTCTTCAATACTGTTATATGTATAAAAAACATAAACTATACTCGGGAAAGGGTATTCACCTGTTTATTAATTCTGTAATTTAATCGTTGCAATAGTAATAAATATTAACAAGGTAATTGTCACAAAAGCTATATGTTTCATAAAATTAAAAAATATTACTTACGATTTTTCAATTTATTATTACAATATCATCAACTTTCTAAGAAAAGAATAACTATTTCAATTTGTTTATGAAAGAATAATTAATATACAATAAATTATTGTACTTATTAATAGTCTATGACCGGCTTTCTTAGTTTTATATATTTAGATTGAAATTATTCATTAATATTTTCTTGCTTATAACATTAGAAAAATAAATAATTTTACATGGGTATAAAATGACAATTTTTTCAGGGTTTTAAAACATTTCCAGGATCGATAATGAATCCTAGATATTTTGTATACTTGTAGCTAATCTTATGATTTTCTAGAATATTGTATGAATAAGTGAAAAATTTTTTTATTAGACAATATTCTTAGGTGTACAATTTTTCTAAACTTGATTTTTTTTAAAACATTTTTTTGGATGGACGCCATTATTAAATGAAAAAAGTTGACTGACCATGAGTATCTGCACCTTCTTCTAGGATCTGAAGTCCTAGAACTTTCCGTTTGTTTTCATATTGGATTATACTTGTGGTTGCATGCAATTTGAAAGAATTTATAATATTAAATCCATTACATAAATTCTTTTCTATCTTATAGACATATAAAATAATATAGATATATAAAATTATATATCTATATAGATATATAAGATATATAAAATTATATAATAATTTTTATTATTTCTTTAAGATGATTATTGTCACAATTAAGATATAAGCGAAATTTTCTTTATTATTATTTATTTTAGTTCACAAATACATTTCTAGCCAAACTTTCAGGATATAAAACAGATCAAAATGACTTGCATTAAGTAGTAATTTAGGGTGGAAAAATTTCTCTGTAGAATGCGAGGTATAGTTGCTTCAAGTATGATCGTGCTAGGTTGAGGATGACACTAGCTCTTTCTTATTAAATTTTTTTTGATATTGAAATTTAAATTAAAATTAATATATGAATGACAAAAAAATTGTACTAAAGGACATAGCAAATTTATATAGTATAATTGTAAAAAATACAAGCTGTTTTGCAATTTTTCTATTCGTTTCCTACATTGTGTTCCTAGACATGTGTTATTAACTGTAAACAGTTATATATTTAACTCCTACTGTTTTTTGATACTACAGCGAAGTAATTCTAAAACGGACGGGCCTCTTATAAACAATGACTAAGTGCCTAGGTTCAGTTTTTATGAAGGTCAAACGACACGAGTCTTAACAAGAGTTGAAAAAAAGAAACAGGAATTTCGCTTTATACGGATTCAGCTTAATTTATTAAAAATCTATTCCAAATGATCGTTAATTGAAGACTATTTTAAATACAAACTTTATTTTATATGGGAATATTAGTAAAATAAAGTTTGGACTTATTTGTGAGGAGAGATCATTTTTCAAAATTATTGATATGAGATATAATAAAATTATACACGTTTTAAAAGTAATACAATTTTTATTATTAAAAACATTAGAAATTGAAAAAAAAGAAAATACAATATCTCAATAACAATATGTCTCATTAAGAGCAGTGTGAATACTTTCTATATATCTTAATTTAATTTAGTTCTTATTTAAAGACTACTACGCTTCATATTTAAAGGCTTATGTACAATTTTATAATAAAAATAGTTTATTGGCTTTTTTATATTACATTATTATTTATATTATGTATTATATATATATGTACATATAGGTAAATGATTAATTCATAATTTATTTATGCTCTTCATCTAAGTATATATACATATATGTATATAAAGTATATGTAGAATAACCACATTAAATTATTTCTTTGGGATTTGTCTTCATTTATTATGTACAATATTGACCTGAGAATAATAAATATTAATATAAAAAATATTCTAAATATTAATATTAATGTATAAATATGACACAACAAAAATGCGATATTATACAAAAAAAATTAATACTAAAAGAAAATTGTTTAATTGCTACTTATTTATCTGTAATATAATTTACACAAAATGTATATGAAATATTAAACAATTTCTATTAAAAGTACAATAATTAAAATTTAATTATTAATATGTAATTAAAAAACCACAATCGTATAATATAGAAAATATATAATAAAAATGTATAAAATTGTATAAAATAAAGTTAAATAAAAAAAATAAAAAAAAAATAAAGTAATGTTATAGAAAATAAAATTCAAATTTATTTAATTTAATAAAAGATTATATTGACCTTAAAATAATAGTTTTGTGTACATACACTATTTTGTGGGGTCTCTTTCATTATTTCCTTGTACTATAGCAGCTCTTACTATACAAGAATAACAAGTAGTTAAGTAGTTAATTGAACGGTTTGCGATTTAATTAAAGTGGTTTATGACGTATCTATGTGAAGAGTTAAAGTTTCGACTGGGCATGATTCATTCCATATGATTGGGTTTTTTGTGTCTTCTTGTAGATATTTCGTCAAGTATTTTAACAGTTTTGGGATCTACTACTGAAGCACTATTACGGCTAATAAAGTAATTTAATTGTAGTATTTGTACGTTTTTACATGTTAAAAAACCAGTTTGCGAGTGTTTTTGCACAACGCGATTTAGTAAATGTACCCTACTTCACATTTGAAATGGCTTATTAGTTCAATACAAAGTTTTAACAGTAACGTTATTTATTTTGGGATATGTTATTGTGTGCATGAATACTGCATACATCATCAATGGAAATCAATGTCAATCAAATCATGTTGACTTTTTATTCCATAAGGGGAAATAAATGAAATATGAAGAGTTTTACCGGTTACCGGTTCATATAGACGTAATGATCGAACTTCATTATAATAATTAATTTAAGTAAAATAGGATATTTCTCACTATCGATATGATACGCTAAATACTTAACAAGTTAGCAGCATAGTAAATATCTAGGGAATGATGAGGATGGAGAAAGGTGGCGGAAAAATTAGCTGGCATAACGCTATGAGCTAGGTTAACGGTGGAGGTGGATCTCAAAATCTACGGTTGGGAAGTGAAATGGAAGCAAGTTAAAGTAAATTTCATATATAGCAAATAATATAATAACAGCAAATATTAATATACTAATATAGCAAATATTAATCTCTCATTGTCAGCATATAACTTACATTGTTTTGATTGATAATAAAAATTTTGAGAAAAATTTAGATGCTTTGTCAATAACATAGTGTGTTTTACTTTCTGAACACGAGATTGTAGAAACTCAGAGAAATTATCTGAATAACTTAAAATTTACCATATTTTGATCGATTTTTAATAACTTTATTTAATAATACACAATAAAATTAAATTCATGAAATAAAATACTTTTTCTTGATACAAACACGTTTAAAATATTGCTTAGCCAATATAAGTTAATATAAGTCACTTAAAATGAACCAGTTTTTTCGGTTCCTTCGGATTATGTGAATAGTACTGTATATTAAAATTTTTATACAATAAGAAATATTAGAAATCTTATTATTAACAGATATAGATCTCAGTTATAAACGTAATTTTTTTTTTCAAATTCTGGCTTAGCTTGTAATGTTGCAATTACTTTGAATCGAAATTTTTACATACTATTTAGTTTACTGCAGTTAAAGTCACTAATAATCGTTAACATACTATATGCTATATTTTTATTTTTTAATATTATAGTTTAATAATAACAGATATAGTTCTCAATTTTAAAGAAATTTGTTTTCTTGAAATTCTGGTTTGCTTTTGATGCTCCAATCAAGTTCTTTTTTCTGAAATATCAATTTTAATGACAATTACTTGAAACTACTCTACTGCAGTTATAATCAAAAATAATCATATATGTATGTACTGTATTCTTTTAGTTGTTATGATCGGTCATAATATAATAATAAATTTTTTTGCTTCATATTTTTCTTAAGTTAATCGTTTTGTTATTATTTTTATTTTCTACTTTTTAAAAGATGCTTGATTTATTGAAATCTTTTGACCACTCACCATTGACAACAATCTCAGTTGTTTATGTCTCTTTTGATAATATAAAGAACATTTTAAGTATGATTATTCTAAAAATATAAACATCAGCTAATATAAACAGACAAATCGAATTAAGTGATGAGGTTGAGATACTTTCACGCTGAGATTAGTACCTGGAGAAGCGAGTTTGTGTGCGGTTCGTTTTATTTGTTCTGTTCTGTTCGTGTAGAAGAAAAAAAATATAAAAATTTGTATCTCAAGTTATGAGTAAAAGATTTTTTTTGAATTTTTTATATTAACATTATGGAAATATATGTAAAATACAAATATCAACATAGCAAAAAGTGTATCTGAATTGATTGAGTTGATATTTAAAAACAAAAAAAAGTTTAACGGAACCATAAAATATATGGCAAATAAATTAATTATATAAAAAGTTCATTCAGTTTCATTTAAAAGAAAAAAAATTGAAAAAGGTGATTTTATTATACGGATAATTAAGTAATTTACATATGCACGTCTGTTGGCAGTTGACCGCACGAGATTATTAACACAGTTTGTAAATAAAATAAATTTAATAAATAAAATTAATTAATTAAAATAAAATTTTATAGATACGTAATTCCTATGAAAAAGTATTATTAAGTAATAATAAATAATAAAAAGTATTAAAAGTTTTGTCTGTTTAAAATTTAAAAATCAAAGTTGCATAAAAAATTGAGCTTATGAAATGCAATTGATATATAAATTGTTAAAAAAATTCATTTTTATTTTGTTGAATATAATTATTATGTTATTATATTATTGTTTAATTAAACAAATACTAAGAAATAAAAAAGTTTTCATTGAACCTTAAATAAAATATCACACATGTTAAGAAAAGTGATAACCTTTGCGTTCATGACATATATTCTTTTTAAATGTTTTTAAGTGAGTGGCTTTTATATAGAATATATATTAAATATATATTCCTATTAGATTTCTAATGAGTGTTCAAGAAATTGTATTGTGAACGCATTAGAGAACAAGTTTAAAATGTTTTTAAATTGTTTTTATATAGAATATATATTAAATATATATCTCTTTTCGCTTTTTAATGAGTGTTTAAGAAATTGTGTTGTGAACGTGTTGGAGAACAAGTTTATATATTTATAATAGAATTATGTGAATTATATTAAAACAATAAATTTTCATTAATTAACATATATTATATTAATACAATAAAATAAATTTTCTATAACAGTTTCAATAAAACTATTTTATTAATGTAAAAAATATTATATTTTTTATAGTGTAAAATATCTCAAATAAAGAATCTCAGACGCAGACGTGACTGCTGAATTTTGGGATCAAAATATTTTTATCTTTTGTAAAATTTCATTGCATACGAAACCAAATGCAGTTCATTTCATTGCTGAGCTTAGCATTTCTGCTAAAAGTGTCTGCTCTATCCGGTAAGTAGAGTCTAGTGTTTAAGAGAATTTTACAGTAATTTGATATTTTGCTCAGAATTAGAATTAGATCGAATCAATTTCTACAACCGATTGGGGTTGCAATCAATTGCATTAGTATTCGATTGATTTTAAATATAGCTGTATTGATCGTACTGCCTTAGCAGTAAGTTAGAAAAATTGTATTGTTATGTATATTTAAAAAATTATATATCGGTGTTATCCAGTAAATAAGACGTTTATAGAACATTTCATGTGTTAGATATTCCACATATTAGAACAAAAGTGAACTATATACGGGGACATATCGAGTAAATAAGATATTTAAATTTTCTTATTTTGGGAGCATTTTCTTGTGGGAGAACAATAGGTCTTCTTAAATGTATTTGGTGAGCTCAAGTGGGTTTCTAGTTTCAATTACTTGCATTAGAGTTTCTTTGAAATACAGTTACAGTATTTACAGTATCTCTTACATAGTAGAAGAGAAAGGTAAAGTTTTCTCTTCTAATCTAGTAGCTCATAACCCACATATATATAGTCGAATAATAGTTCTTATTACTTAATGAATATTGAAGTTACATATCTTAGCTTCGATAGTTTGTTACGAACAATGACCTTAATTTGCTATGCATTTTTGGTTTATTGTTTTTTTATTTTAACACGATTCGAATAATAATAATAAGAATAATAAAAATTAATTAATTATAATTTTTTTTTGTTGACTATTATTTAATTTTCTTTAAATTTCATATAATTAGATTTCTATTTTTGGATTTCTCTCAGTTTTGTGCGATTTGAATTTAAAATATTTATATAGATTTGATTAATTTTTAATTGGTATACAAAACTATGTCATTGGGACTTGATGTAAACTGGTATATATGTTTTAGTTACCAGAACTCATAAGTTAATTGGAACATTTTTGAAAAGTTGACTAAGGTGACATAGTATAGTTATATGCTAAAAAGCTCTGTGCCGGGTTGTGCTATGTTTTAGCACTAAGTAGTCTATATGACCTTTGGTAGCTATAGTCTTAGAAGAGATGATATTCAAAATAATTCAATTTTATAACTTATAAAAACAATAAGGCTAAGACATCGAAGAAGATAACAATAAACAAGATTTATGTTTAACAGCTTCGTTAGCTCCTCTATTGATCTAATAATATCATTGAAAGCCGTTAGTTTCTTTTAAAATTTTGAGTTGATCAGGTGTTTCTATAATAAATATAAGTGAAAAAAAGAGAAACAGATATTTAATTGTTATAAAATACCTTATAATATCTATATATAAAAATATTAGTTTTATATAAGATTAGTTATAAGATATATTTTTACTATTAGAACTGACAGCAGTACGTCCTGACTTTTGATATATATATTTTTGTGACAGGTTATTTTACTTATTTGGATAAATTAAGGATATTATGAGCCCAAGCCTTTTGGTTTCAGACTATCGCATTCTATACTATAGTAGATGTTATTATCCATCAACCTAGTATAACTTCAATTTTATTAAATAGTTTAAACAGTTGTAAACTGCTTTACTTCCCCAAATAAGTACTAGTTTTGTAAAATAATGTATTACAGTCTTATAATATACAGTAGCACTTCGAACATATATGATTACAATAGTCATATTTGATACTTTAAGCCATACTCTATTACTGTTGGCTTAATATTATTTTATCACTGAGAAAGTTCTCTTTTATTTTTAAATCAAATGAAGGATAATTGAAGCTCAAGCTTTTTGGTTTAAGATTAGTGATGGCATTCTATACCATAGTAATCGTTATTACTCATGACTCTACTATACCTTAACTTTAGCTTAACTTAAAGTAGTTAAGCAGCTAAAATCTGTCTTATTTTTTAGTCTATAGATTACAGTCTTATACTTTGAATATATAATTACAACAGTCATATTTGTGATATTTTAAGCGATATTCTATTGTCTATTCTTTTAATGATTTTTAATGATGGCATGTTTAAATTAAGAGTATCTTCATAAAATATACAAAATATGTTTATATTAAATTTTATTATTGAATGTTATTAAAATTCAAATATTTTAAATTTTATATTCCAGAAGGCGATACTTGCCAAATAAAGCAGACAACAGGTGTGTGCAAGTTGTCATCAAAATGTCCTGAATTAGGAGCTTTAATAAAATCAAAAGTGTTATCCTCAGCAGATGTAATTAGATGTGAGTTTAGCGCATATGAAGAGATAATATGTTGTCCTTCTGGTATGAGGACCGTAAATCCTATAAACCCTACACCTGATGATAAGTTCATATTGTGAGTAATTCTTGTATGTTTTTACCATTGAAAATGTTTCATCGTTGGTTGTTTTGTTATTAATCTTCTTACTAATATACTAAAAACTATCTTAACTAGTTAAAACTTTCATTATGTTAATATCATTATAAGAACAAATTCACTTTCTTTTGCTAAACTTTCTTTTGCTTACTTTTTCGCTTTTGATTTTAATTTCAACATTTAGGAATCCTACAACTGTTGCTAGTAATAAAGACTTTTGGTCAGATCTATTGACAACAACCACAAGAGCTACAACAACTACAACAAGAACTACCACAACAGCTAAGCCAGATTTTTGGTTAGATCTTCTAAACACAACTACAACTACAACGACAACAACGACACCAGAACCTTTAAGACTTGGAGATAAAGAATTGGATCCGAATTCAGAATTTTTCGATTTATCAAAGCTTTTAGCAGATAAGAATCGTCAAATGCAGAACAATGACAATAGAAATCTAAATGTAAACAATGCTCCAAATGTAGAAATTATTACTCCCTTCCCTCAAAATAATAATCCAAGAGGTAGAAATCAGAGATTGGAATCAATTGGAAACACGAGAATACAACCAGGATGGAATAATAATGCGCGAAATGCTCATGTGATACGACCAGGCTCACCACAGTCAGTTAACAATCAATTAAATAATTTTAATAATCCTAACGTTGATTGGGTAGATCAAAATCGAAATCGTAACACCTTTGGTTTAAACAGAAATGTACCTCCACGGGGGCGTGGAAATAATAGGATTAGTGCAAACCAATTAAATTTTATTAATAATCAGAGAAATGAACATATAAGGCCAATGCAAAATGAAAACTTTTTAAATGGGTTTAATAATTTTAATAAACAACAAATAGAAAACAATAATCGTAGAGGCCCTTGGATTCAGGAAGAAAATAATTATGACCTTGACACTGCTAGCAGTAACAATTGGGTATCACGACCAATACAAGGTTCAGCACAAAATAACCAGTTCTTTTCAAATAATAATCCATCACCTAGTGACATGAACTTTTCAAATTTAGTTGATGCTGTCAATGAAAATTTAATTAATTCCGGTATAGAAATTGTAAAAGCTGAATTAGATGACGTTGATCGTGAATTTGAACAACAGAATAATTTTGGATTTCCTTCAAGCATTAATGCTCCAAGATTACAAACAACCACAGTTAGAAGCGCACCTCAATTAGATCCATTTGCACCTTTTCAATTTCGACCGGATCCAACAGATTTTAATAATAATCAAAATGATGACTTTTGGGAAAATGTTAATAAAAATATTTTTAATAATCCTACTAATACTAATATTGCTTGGCCAATGGAAAACAGGTGGTTATGGTTTTATTTAAGTAAAATTAACAATTTATTAGATCTTCTTCTTCTCTTCTTTCTTTTTTTTCTTTCTATAATTTCATTATATAATTTTAAATTTAGTTTCATGTAAATTTTTTTATTTCGTTTTGAAGTTCCAATACAACACCGCCAACTACAAAGAAGCCAACAACTGCTTCACCTGTAACGGATCGTGCTGGAGCAGAACGACCTGCTGTTAAAGGTAAAATTTTTTATTTATTATATATTTTTTTTAAATAAAATATTCGTTTATAATTGCAACTCAGAAAGATTTTTGAAACCGAAGAGATAGGCTTGGTTAAAGATAAACAATATCTATTGATGGAAGATACGATCATCTATAAAAATTCAGTGTTTTATTTCGATTTCCAACTTTGTAGTCCCAATTTTTTAAATCGTTCATTTGAATATCTAAAACACTTTAATCTTCGTAACAATAAAAAAAATTTTTGAGTTTCTATTGTCTATACAAATATATGACTCCTACTTTGTCTATTTTATCTATACTCGTCTCCATGATTAATCGATAGAAACGGTGAGAAGAAAATATATATGCGATAATAAATGATTGATTTTTGTAATCTGTTTTATTTGTATTTGTTTCTATAAACCGTTTTTTGTATCATTTCAATAGTTAAAAAGCTATTAACTAGCCGTGAGAGACTCCTGAAAACTCCTATTAGAAATGTATTGTGAAGACTTTACATTTTGGTTAAAAGGGACCATATTTCCATACAAAAATACCCATATTGGTAAAGTTATATACGGACCATATTTCAGTAATTAAAGAATGATATAACAGAGGTTTATGTCAAAGTCAGATTTTTGTTTAAATTGCTAAAATATTTCAAAAATGGTTGTGTGATTTAAGTATGTTGAATAAAGTGTTGAAATATGGCACAATAATGCATATAATTAGCACATTAATTACAATGCAATGCATTATATAATGAAAGTTAGTTTAATATCACAGGTGTGACTAATTATTAGTTTTTGAATGGTTAATATATTTAATTGAAAAAATCAAAATCTGGGGCGTGCAAGGGATTTACAAGGAAAATCTACATCTACAACTCAAAATTATATAAAAATTAATCAAAATTAAAGAAATTTAATATGAGATTAGACAGATATGAAAGCTTTTTTCTTTGAATCTGGAAGTCTTGGAACCAAGAAGTATGGTAGTTACGGTGATATGATTTATATTATATTTTATATATATATATATATATATGTATGTATGTCAGAAAGCACACTAAATAAAGTCCATAGTTTTATGGTATGTTATATGACCAGATAGATTTTATGAAAAAAAAACTAAAAATTAAAATTTTATTTTCTAGACTTAGCGGAAAATTCTAATTGACGAGCCAGTAAAATTGTGAAATTGTAAAAATGATTTTAATTAGATTTGGGTTGTTTTTATTCTCACTGTATTTAGTCCAAGTCAACCTTATGTTATAATGAATGCTAAGATATTTCATATTATTTGATTTGGGTATATTGACAGTAATCAATTTTGATTAAATAATTAACAAAATTCCTAACGTGTTTGCTTATATGATTCATTTCATATCTCAGGAGTATCGGTTTGATGTTTTATACTACATAGAATTTCACTTCATTTTCTCCGTTACTTATAGAAAATGCTCCGTTACTTTAGAAAATGCTTGTAGAAAGAATGGTCCAATTTCGTGTTACAGCAATGGTAGTCTATTTTCCAATAGCTGTTCATCATTTCCATCATAAAAATGTAGAAATATTAAATGAGATCTAAAACTGTAAAATCTAATTGCCATTTAAGAAAATTGTTGATAGTCTCCTACAATTCGATCTATATAATATATACTTTATCTATCACACATTATTTCCATTAAATAAATTTATTGATTATAATTGAGAGCTGAAACTGTGCAATCTAATTGTCATTTAAGGTAATTGTTTCCATATAATTCATCGTCGATATTTCTATGAAGAAACCTCTCTTTACCTATTTTCTGATATTTTCTACTTTATAAATAATTTGATTACCCGTAGGTTGATTTTATTTTTGCGTTGAGATGGATTTCTGGTATGATTGAAGGAATTGATCATAATTACTTTGTTCTCTACATACTTCTTTATTTTCGTCGAAATGTTAAGTATTTAACTATGTGGTAACACCTATAAGTCATATCAGTAATACAAAAAAAAAACACACCTTGACAAATTAAAGTATCTTATTAGCTAATATTATGTATCTTTTAGTTATGTGGTTATAAATAAATAATTAAATTATTTAATTTTATTATCAATTTGAATATAATTCTAATTTTTCCTGTTTAATAGCTTGCCGTATGATAGAGGCGAATTTGACAGTTGAGTTAACTCCGCATATTCTTGACGGAATCCCAGTATTACTGGGAGAATATCCACATATGGCAGCTATAGGGTTCAGTGTTATTGGAAATGAAGGCGAATATGATTTTCGTTGTGGTGGAACTTTGATTGATCCTAGATTTGTTTTGACAGCAGCACATTGTGTAAACAGTCGTGAAAGTCAGCCTGTCGTTGTGCGTTTTGGTGTTGTCGATTTTAAAAATGAAACACAAATGAAACAGCGCGTAGAAATACCTATTTTAGTGAGTAATTAGGTTCACAAACAAAAAATAAATTAAATATTTCAATGAACTTAAAAAACTAAATAAAACTTTTTTCTTATTATAGAAAGTCCATATACATGAGAATTATAGTTCAAGTAAAACATATAACGATATAGCATTATTAGAACTGGAGAGAAATGTGATATACACACCCAATATCTTTCCAACATGCTTATACACTAATGTGGATGATCCGCCAGAAAATTCTGTGCTTTATGTAACTGGTTGGGGTGTTGTTAATGTTGGAAGTAAGTTTTAAGAATAAAAAATGTTATGAATTTATTGAGAATTTATTGAATTTATTTTTTTTTATAGCTCGTAAAAGGTCCGACATATTGCTGAAAGCTCAATTAAAAGTAACTCCTTTAAGTATTTGCAATAATAGTTATGCTGAACAAGGTTTTGCACGGCAAATATCTGAGGGAATTATAAACTCTCAAATGTGTGCTCATGATGTTGCTGAACTGAAAGATGCATGTCAGGGTGATTCTGGTGGACCATTAAATTTAGTTGTAGACGAAACAACTAAAAATTACCGTATAATTGGCATTGTATCAGCGGGTTTTAGTTGTGGAACTGAAACGCCAGGATTTTATACACGTGTCGCTGCTTTCTTAGATTATATAGAAAGCATAGTGTGGCCCTCATCTAAATAAATTATTAACGTTGTTAAGACTACATACGTTTTATTGTGTGATATTATAACTTTTTATTAAAGAACTGTTATTTTTAAGTAAAATATTTTAATAAATAGAACTAAGTAAATTTTGAAAAATAATTATAATATTGTACATACATGTGATAATTTAAGAAGTTTGAGTCATTGATTAATATACGATATTTGAAATGAGTTTTTATTTAAGCAGAAAAGTTTTCATTATACCTATTAGTAAATTATGTAAAAAATTTGTGGTTTACTTTGGACTTTTTATATTCTAACTAGAATTCTTTTGCTTGTTCTTAATTTTCTAATTAAAACGAAATTTGACAGACTTTGAGCTGCAGATTTAGTATCTGCAATAAGTGTCCAATTAGTGTAAATGATTTCTCAATTATATTTTTACGATTAGTTTTTTTATAATTTGTACGGCTCATTAGAATAAACCTATTAAAATTTATTACATTGGTATAAAAAGAAATCCCTGTACTATATTACTTAATTTTGATAATATAATTTTCAGTTCTCAAAAATTACTATGTTATATATTATACTATGTTATATCCTTTAATAATCAATTGAAAGCTTGTTCTATATTTGGTTCATGATTTTTATGAAGTACATTGTGACCGAAAAGTTTCCGGTCACAATGTACAAACGCAAAATTCTTAATCTTCATCAATATTTATTTTATCTCCTTCAAAATATGCTCCATTAGAAGCGATACACAAATGCCAACGTTTCTTCCAATCATCAAAACATTTTTTATTGGCGCTTTCCGGTATGGCTTTGAGTTCCCTCTGCGAATTCTGTTTTTCGTCTTCTATGGATTCAAAACGCGTTCCTCTGAGTGGTAATTTGAGTTTGGGAAACAGGAAAAAGTCACACGGTGCAAGATCAGGTGAATACGGTGGCTGTTTGATGGTATTTATTGAATGTTTGGCCTTAAAATCGTTGATAATGTTGGCTCGGTGCGAGGGAGCATTATCGTCATGAAAAATCCATGAATTATCCTTCCACAATTGAGGCCGTGGTCTCACGACCGATGCCTAGCTCTCGTGCTATCTCTCTAACACTCACATGAGGATTTTGGAACACGATTTCCTTTGCCTTTTCAATGTTTTCGTCGGTGGTAGAGGTCGAAGGTCGTCCAGAACGCGGCATGTCTTCGACGGTCGTACGACCGTCCTGAAAGGCTTTGTACCACTCATAAACTTGAGTTTTCGATAAAACTGATTCCCCATAAGCCTTTTGTAGCATTCGCAACGATTCTGCACACGAAATTTCGTTCGAAACACAAAATTTGATGCAAACTCTTTGTTCAATATTTTTTTCCATTGTTTTTTTCGCAACGCACTACTGAGGTGAACTGGTTTCAACAGCTGCCGTAAACGAACTGTCTGACAGATCGCGCTCATTTTTGGCATAGTAATTAAGGAAAGTGCTGCCAAACTACATAAACTTAAAATATCGAAAAATATACAGCGCGCGAATTTTAAATGAGAACTTCCGAAAACCTTTCGGTCACAATGTATAACTTTTATTTAAAACGAAAAATACTCTGGTGTAACAGACCCATTATAATATATAATGAGATTTTTATATTTCGACTTTATTACGTTAGTTTGTTACCCCCAATGTGGTACTCCTGTTTCTTTTCTTGGTTTAATTTTATTATTTTAATTTAATTAAAAGCATATAAATCTTTTTATAGTAAATTTGAAGAGCCATCTACTAAAATCTTAATTGTGATATGATCTGGTATACAATTTTACTATCTTTTGGAAATTTTTAAGTGAGTTATTATTTTTAGTTTTTTTCAATTTATTTATTTCGAAATCTTAAAATAAAATTCATTTTTTTTTATTTTTTAATCACTTCATCTATTTTTCCCACTAATTCTTTTCATTACCATATAAATTGAAATGGCTCATTTTTATTATAAGACATTCTAAATAGTATAAGAATAATAATTTTAATGTCGAATAAAAATTTAATAAAATTTTTTTTTCTGTTTATTTCTAAAGTTTTGATTCAACTTCGCCTCTATCGAAACTAACTGAAACTGAAGCACCTGTCATGGATCGAGCGAAAGAAGTAGAACGACCTGCAGTTAGAGGTAAATTTTATTTTAGGAACATTTTTAGATTTATTTGGAGTCAAATATTCATACGTTGCAAGATCCTCAGAAATAAGAAGTAATACTATTGATAAGCTTTATGTTGTATGTCATTCAGTTGATCATTAATATATTATATACATTAAAATGTATATAATTGTATATAAACACATATATGAAGTGGTACCTGATTTAAAGGCATAATTCAGAAATGATTTTCTATATTTAGTGTTGTTTATCAAGATAAAGCAAAACAGTGGATTGTTGATACTTTCCACTCCATTGTTTTTTTTTCGCAATTCTTTACATTGCTTAGAGAATATTATTGATTTTTTTTTTCAAGATACTAAAGCCAAACATAAGATTGCTGATATTTCCAACTCCATTGTTTTTCTTTGCAATTCTTTACATTTCTTAGAGAGTATTACTAAGTAATATCATTGAGAATGTAGTATACGTTGACTTGAGTACTTAGAATGTACCGTATTATATTTTCAGAACTATGAAATTACTGCTCTACAAGATATTTATAAATTATTAATTTGATTTTTAAAATGTTAGCTCAAAGGTGTTTAATTATATACCTATATCTTTATGGAATTGCTAAATAAATTTCGTTCTATTTATCTTAAAATCCTTTATTAAAAATATTAAATATTTAACTCATATTACAAAAATCAAGTTAAACTATCAGTACTCTAAATACAATATAGTATCATTTTGTTGTTGATGTCAACCTTAGATTAACAATGCAATAAAATGTATTTTTAATGAACGAAAGATTCTAGATATGTATTTCTTTAAAGGTTATTATTCAATAAATTTTTCATAAGTTCCATTGTATGTAAAGTTTTACTTTTGATCACATTTTTTTTTTAAAGCTTGTCGATTAATAGAAGAGAATTTAGCAGTCGATGCAGTTGCGCATATACTTGACGGAGTACCAGTATCACTAGGAGAATACCCACATATGGCAGCCATTGGGTTCAGTATTATAGGAAATGAAGATGAATATGATTTTCGTTGTGGTGGGACTTTAATTGATCCAAGATTTGTTTTGACAGCAGCACATTGCGTAAACAGTCGTGAAAGTGTGCCTGCCGTTGTGCGTATGGGTGTTGTCGATTTTACAGATGAAGAACAAATGGATGATCGTGTCGAAATACCCGTTATTGTAAGTAGTTAATTATATAGTAGCAAAGAATTTTGTCATAAAATATATAAAAAATGATATATAATAACTTTATTATAGAAAACTCATATACATGAAAATTACAGTTCCGGCAGTAATTATAACGATATAGCATTATTACAATTGGAAAGAAATGTGACGTACACACTTGATGTATTTCCAATATGTTTATACACAAACATAGAGGATCCACCAGTAGATTCTATACTCTATGTAATTGGTTGGGGTGTTGTTGATGTTACAAGTAAGTTTTTAATTAAAATGGATTCGTTATACTACATTACATATATATAATATATATTTTTCTTTTTAATACTATTTACGTTTTTAAAGCCTTATCTGAACAAAAATAAAAAATTTTTTAGTTGGTTGTTTTTTTCAATTTATTTTATGTAGTTAATGTTATAAAAATATATTCAACGTATTAAAGTTTATTGAACTTCTTCACAGCTGAGTATAGTTACAACTGATTGTGAAAACAAAGGAGTAATTAATAGTGAAATGAATAATAAAATATATATTAAGAAAATAAAAAACCAACTAAAAGTTTTTTTTTATTTTTATTATTTTTTATTATTTTTATTTTTATAAGTCTGTAAGAAATAATATTTTGAAAAAGTGAACTAATATTTTTTTTTTTAGCACGAAGAAAGTCTGATGTGCTGCTAAAAGCAAAATTGAAAATAACTCCATTAAGTGCTTGCAATAGAAGTTATGCTGAACAAGGTCTTACGCGGCATATATCGCAGGGTATTATAAGTTCTCAAATGTGTGCTCAAGATGACAGTGAGATGAAAGATGCTTGTCAGGGTGATTCGGGTGGGCCACTAAATCTAGTTGTAAACGAAACAACCAAAAATTATCGTATAATTGGCATTGTATCAGCGGGTTTTAGTTGTGGAACTGAAACGCCAGGATTTTATACACGTGTCGCTGCATTCTTAGATTATATAGAGAGTATTGTGTGGCCTTAATCTAAGTAAATGATTAAAAGGTGCTTAAACTACATAAGTTTTATTGTGTGATAATTTAATATTTTATTAAGGAACGGTTATTTTTAAGAGTTGTAATAATAATTTAAATTGACTTTTTGAAAGAAATTAATATTATATTAAAAAGAAAAACATGTATGTTATTATGTTAATATTATATTCACATATATTGCATTATGTTTAGCTGATTCGGTCTACAAATCTTGAATGCTGTATTTGTTTCATTAACAAATAATTATTTTGAAAAACACACCCTACAGTCGTTTAAAGTGATTGAAATACTTTATTTTCAAATTACTGTCTCTACTATAAAAGCTTCTCCATCTTTAGTAGTAGTTTCTGCACTATTTTAATGGTACTAATTGAAACTTTTTTTTGAGACCCTATTCTCGAAGTGGAGAGAAGGACAGCAAAGTGGAGTGGAGTGGAGAGTGGAGAGAAGGTCCTTTTAATTTGCCTCATAATTTTACTTTTTCCTCACTGTTCAAATCATTTTTAGTATTTACTTTTAGTATTTTAATATTTACTTTTAGTATTCACTAACATTTATTTGAATGGTGAACACATTCTTAACTTTGAATTTTCTTATTAGATTTTCAAGCCGTTTGATATCAATACAATCAGCTATAAAGTTTATTTTTTATTATCTTTCTAATTTTTTTTTTGATAGAATAAATATAATTTTATAATATATGCAATATATTGATATGGCATATATCAATTATTATTCGACAGTTAGAGTCATCGAGAGAAAGGGTGATAAAAAGAGAGAAGCGGAGAGGCAGAGATAAACA